TGATAAACTGTCTGAAAAAAAGAAAGTCACGTTTTAGAGAAGAAAAATCTCAAACAATACAATACTCAAGTAAATTTACTTAGTTACTGTCTGCCTCTGCACGTGGTCTGTGGTTGTGAGGCCGGTTGGATGTACTGCAAAATTCTCTGAAACGCCTTTGGAGATGGCTTATGGTAGAGAAATGACCATTCAATTCACGGGCAACAGCTCTGGTGGACATTCTTGCAGTCAGCATGCCAATTGCACGCTCCCTCAAAACTTGCAACATCTGTGGTATTGAGCTGTGTGATAAAACTGCACATTTTAGAGTGGCCTTTTATTGTGGCCAGCCTAAGGTACGCCTGTGCAATAATCATGCTGTCTAATCAGCATCTTGATATGCCACACCTGTGAGGTGGATGGATTATCTCGGCAAAGGAGAAGTGCTCACTAACACAGATTTAGACAGATTTGAGAGCAATATTTGAGAGAAATAGGCAAAAAAAGAAAGTCACGTTTTAGAGAAGAAAAAAAAATTATCCACTGACTTTCAAAGCTGCTAATGATTTTCTACTTCGAGGATCTTGATAGAGATGTAGTGGAGTGAAAAGTACAATATTTGTCTTTCAAATGTAGTGAAGTTAAAGTCATAAGTTTCCAGAAAAAATAATACTCAAGTAAAGTACAGATACTCAAAAAGTGTACTTAAGTACAATACTCAAGTAAATTTACTTAGTTACTGTCTGCCTCTGCACGTGGTCTGTGGTTGTGAGGCCGGTTGGATGTACTGCAAAATTCTCTGAAACGCCTTTGGAGATGGCTTATGGTAGAGAAATGACCATTCAATTCACGGGCAACAGCTCTGGTGGACATTCTTGCAGTCAGCATGCCAATTGCACGCTCCCTCAAAACTTGCAACATCTGTGGTATTGAGCTGTGTGATAAAACTGCACATTTTAGAGTGGCCTTTTATTGTGGCCAGCCTAAGGCACACCTGTGCAATAATCATGCTGTCTAATCAGCATCTTGATATGCCACACCTGTGAGGTGGATGGATTATCTCGGCAAAGGAGAAGTGCTCACTAACACAGATTTAGACAGATTTGAGAGCAATATTTGAGAGAAATAGGCCTTTTGTATACATAGAAAAAGTCTTAGATCTTTGAGTTCAGCTCATGAAAATTGGGGGCAAAAACAAAAGTGTTGCGTTTATATTTTTGTTCAGTGTATCTATCTATCTGTCTATCTATCTATCTATCTATCTATCTTACAAAAAAAGGTGAAATATGTTTATATCCCTGGACATAAAAATGCACACAGAAACCCATTTTCACCCATACACTTTGTGCTAACTTGGTGACGGCTGTAATGTGCATTTTTTTCCAAGCAAGAAAAAGTTCAAGGCCATAATAACGTTCAATGACAGCAAGCAGAAGTACAGTTATTTGCTTTTGTTTGAAAGGTCTGAAGCCTCATGATGAAACAGACCACAGCCGCTTCAGTATGTTTTATGACTCGTTTGCTCTAGTAAAAACTCCTAATCACAGCAATCATCCCCACGTGCAGGGATGTTTTGGCAGAGTATTTGCCTTTCATCCTTTCTTTAACTTAATACACACAGCCTGTTCTTCCAGTGGATCTGTCACAACCGATACAAGTCCAAAACTCACACCAGAATATTAACTGTGATAGTTCCGTTTGTGTTTTTGTATAATAATGATGCCAGTGACTGCTAATGTTAAACTTAATGATAATAGCCATCAACCATTTGTATCCAATATACAATACTGTTTTTTGTGCTTTATTATGTCCCAATAACAGAATAAGAGATTAAAAAAAGTTAACATTTAAACATAAAACCAGTAGTGTGATTTGGGGGCGGGATTATTTGTTGCTCCAACCAATGGAAGACGGGGGATTGTTCTGCCAAACTTTTAGAAAACATTATTTTTGCGATCCATTGAGGATTATTTTGGATGGATGGATGGATGGATGGATGGATGGATGGATGGATAGATAGATAGATAGATAGATTGATTGATTGATTGAGATAGATAGATAGATAGATAGATAGATTGATAGATAGATAGATAGATAGCTAGATAGACAGATAGATAGATAGATAGATAGATAGATAGATAGATAGATAGATAGATAGATAGATAGATAGATAGATAGATAGATAGATAGATAGATAGATAGATAGATAGATAGATAGATAGATAGATAGATAGATTGATAGATAGATAGATAGATAGCTAGATAGACAGATAGATAGATAGATAGATAGATAGGTAGGCAGGTAGATAGATATGAAAAATATGACAAAATAACAGTCCATGATTTTAACTGACCGTGAGAAACTCAAATAAAATAATATTTTTAATGATCATGTCTGCTGTCTTATTACTTAAATTCCTATATTCAAACAGCAAAGCCATAAAAACAGTGTTTTTTCAGTTCTCTAGCCAATGGCACAGCAGATGTACTTTTGACTTTCTCTGTTGGAGCCCATCTCTCAATACTGAAGCCGTCTAATGAAGGAGCTCCTGAACCCTGCAGGCATATCACTCATCACCTCACTCCCAATATAAATCACTGGAAAACTACATGCTTACAGCCATGACGACTTTAAGTCAAAGACATGCCGACACTCTGATATCAGGGACAGCATCTTGTTACACAGAAGGAGGTGCCTCTCAGCTTTATGATTGCCTTTATTGCCATTACTTCCAAGTTAAGTAAGTTAATATTATGTGGTCTTTGTGTTTCTTTCAGAATATTAATAGAAATTTCACTCAATTAAAGGAATTTGTAGTAAACAGAAAAGTAATAGGTTACTCATTATTGCTAGTGTAAATGTTTTTGTTTTTATAGAGTAATAATATTTTTTAAATTATTTTTACATTGTATTTGCTTTATAGTATAGTATAGTATAAAAATAAATATTTTAATAGTAATATTATATTTTATAATAATTAAAAAAAATATTCTGACCAGTCTGGCTCAGCAACACTAACTCTACCAATGGTGTGAGTCTGGGATGGGGCTACATGTTTTTAGACCAATGGCAAGCAGGGGGATTGGCTTTGAAAAATCCTTTCTTTTTGCAGTTCCATTCGTAAAGGACTGTTTTATAAGATTTTCCAAATCAGATTGGATTCTGGACTGTAACTCTTGTATTGTGTAGATACTCAAGCAAGTTTTCCCTCGGTTATCTCTCCAAACATGAGAAATGATGTTCGCTGTGCAGAAATGTCCCCATGCAAGAGCACACATAGAGAATAATAGAACACATATGTGAACCTGCAAGTTCAGCCAAAATACACAAGACATTCTCTGTAGCAGATGTGTAGGTGGCTAATTCGTATGAATTCGTATGACTTCACTCGTACAAATTCATACGATTTTTGCTAAATCGTACGTATTTTACAAATTGCACAATTTGTATGAATATGTACGAATGACCTACACGTAATCCCGCCACTAAACCTATCACTGGGGTCTAGACAAACCGTACAAAATCATACGAGTGAGGTCGTACGAATTCATTCAAATTAGCCACCTCGTAAAATACGTGCGAATTGGTCATGAGATAGTGTTGAGATTGTATGATCTTTGAAAAATATTGGTCTTTAAATGCAAGATATTCTTGCTGATTTACTTGCTGTTCCATAACGTAAATATTAACTTATAATATTAATGCTACATTAGTAGATTAAAGTCACAGAGATGTTCATTGCTCACAGATCCTTTCACTAATATTGCTGTAGAATGAAAAGGTTCTTTGGATGTTTGCAAAATGTATGAGAACAAAGTAAGGATTAATTGCTATAATTAAATTACTTTATTTATAAGTGTTATTTTAGTGTCATTAAGATATGCATAGGTTTTATGAATATTTTGAATTAATTTTTATATTTTCCATTTTAATTTTAGTTAAAGGTTTAGAAATGTTTTCTAAAAATGTTTTTGTCATTTTTATAAGTTATTTTTTTTAATTAATTTTTCATTTCCGCTTTAGTAAACTGATGCACTATATTAAGGTTTTTATTTAATTTCTATTAAGATTTATTTCTAGTAACAGAAATGTTTATTTTTGATTTTACTTTAAGTGGATAAATTGAATCAGTATTTAGTGTGAATTTAGCAGCTTTCACACCAGTGCAAATAATGGACAGCTTTAAACTGGATGATAGTGTGTCACATTCAGTTTAAAGAGTGTATATGCTATCTAAAACAATTTGCCAGACTTGACAAGGTTATCCTCCCAATGAAGTCTGGGGCTTCGGATTGTTTTTATTAAGGAGCAAAGCTTTATTTTTTCAGACATAAAGACATCCATATGTCTTTATGTAAAGGCATGCATGCTGCTACAAAATCCCCTATGTCAACATATGTGTTTTTTTAACTCTACACTATTAGTTTTTGCATTCACTTCATGTCAATTTTGACATGATATTTATCTGGAAACAAGAACATAAAGGGATTAACGTTGTTAGCTCGTACTAAAGTCAAGATGAATAGCAAATTGACAGCAGAATGTGTGGAGACTGAGAATCAGTCACTTCAAAAGTGACTTTGTACTTGGATACAAATGATTGGTGATGCCTATTATCATTAAGTTCATCATTAGCTGTCACTGCCATCATATTCATGAATTATATGATGAGAATGATTGCTAATGATGAACCTAAAAGTCACAGTGCAATGTCTCAGCACAGTTCATACTGTTGCTCAATATTTATATGATTCATCAACTGAAATAGCTGCACCGCAGATAAAAAAAATGAACAGACAGGTCACAGTTTTTTGGAGATAAACACTGAAATAAGTAGAGGTGCTATAAACAGAAAATATTTTATTTTATTTTTTAACTCCATTGAGGCTTATTTCAATGTGATGATTTGAATTTCTATGATTAAAAAGGCCTATTTAAAAAGAAAGAAGAAATAAAAAAATGTAGATGTGAACAAATTCATAAAAAATGAACAGAAAATTCGAAACAGATGGAAAGTTACAAGCCGCATAATTTAAAGTAAACTCAACAGCCAAAGATTTGCTGATCCTTACAGATAAAAACGCATTCATGTCTCTGAATGCAAGCACCACAAAATATCATGTGCACGACAAGCTCAATGACAGGCTCATACAGTATATATATATTCAAAGAAACAATATAAACAGCTTAAAAAACAAACAAACAAAAATGACCAATGTCTCTCTTTATAACCACCATCATTTCAAGTAGCCCTTATCTGAGTTGAAGTGGGGTGTGTGCCACATAGATCCAAGATGTTACTGCATTGGTTTGTAATGTGTAAACATTCAATGCGGTTTGAAGTAACAGTGTATTTGCAGGACAAACACACTGTTTTACAACACTGTCTTTCACTTTGGATCTTCAGGTAGAGTGAGCCTCATTCATCTCACTGTCTGGGTCTGGAGTGATGCCTGACCAGTCTCACTCTCCGCCTTGATCCTGCATTTTAGTCCACAAACACACACATATAAACAAAGCTGTTCTAGACATTTATGGTTCATTTTCCTATTATTGCATGTTTTGGTATTAGAAAAAAAAGATGCTATACTAAAATTTGTACTGTAAGTGTCTTGATATAAAAATAGCACACACAAAAAAAAGCTGAAACACATACCTTGTGGTTGTCTGATGGCAGCTCGTTTTTTATAACGGCCCTCTGAGGAGAAAAATAATTCAATTAAACCTTGGCCATTAGATCCATCCACATATTATTCACACAGTTGTGAAAGCACTAACCCTTGATGATTCTGGTGATTCTCTCCGATTCTGTTTCAAGCAGGTCTGGAGTGTCCTTGAAAGATACAATCTTTGAAAAATCTGGTCCTAAAAGAATAATAAATAATAATAATAATAATTCATCATGTATGCATATTATATATAATATTAAATCAGACATGATTTTTATAATTATAATTAATGTAACTGAAGCCAGTTACTATACTCTAAAAAATGCTGGTTTATTTTTTTAACCCAAATGCTGGGTTCAGCATGTTGGGTCAATTTATTGGGTTATTTTTAATATTTTTTTTTACCCAGGTGCTGGGTAGTTTTTCTGTAACTAAGTTGCTGGGTCATTTTTAATGCTGGGTTATTTTTTCTACCCAACCGCTGCGTTGAGCCTGTCTTCGAAGAAACAACCCAGAGTACCAGTCTGAGCGCGGGCTTTTTGCGTCCTACAGAAGAGAGTGGTTCTCAGCACCGCCGCTGATTTGGGGCACTTCTTCAGCGAAATAAAGGTTTGTATATAGTTTATTTCATTTATAAAGTCTTTACTGTCCTGTAAATTATATTATTTTACACAATGCAACATAAGGACGAGATGTCAGTTAGTTGCGTCAGCAGCGGTCGTTTCGCACGATAGAAACGCCTTTTGCCTTGCATAACATAAATGGATTTTATTCGTTATAATACTGACTTTAATTTAATTTGATGTTAAAACAAATTTTCTAATGTCAGTACTGATTGTTTATGGGTAGATTATGTAGTCAGTCACGGCATCTTTCAGTTACGAGTGAAACACGAGGCCGCGGTCTGAAGTTCGCAGTTCCCCCGCGAACAGCAGCCCTTCACCGGCTCCGAGTAATTATCACTATTTCAGTAAAAGTGAATACAGAGAACGTTTGCATACACTTTAATTAAAATGTTACTTTTTTATTTCTAAAATGCATGTTGAACGAGTTTAAATGTATGTAATATTGTAAACTTTGCTGTATTTACCCAAATAAATTCAATTAGTCTTTTGTCCATATAACAATTTATATATATATATATTTAAACACTAAAATGAAACACTAAAATCTGTAATATCAGAAGTGCAATATAATTTCTTACCTTCAATTATCTGCAGTTCTGGCCGAACTACTCTGGTAACAGTGGTTTCCCCATCTGGTGCACCTTTGAATACAAAAAGATGAATATTTGATTTGGTTTGAAAATTTAAACTGCATCTTACCACTGTTTGATATATTGTGTCTCACCTTTAATGATCTGAGGGTCTTTCTTAATTACTCTAGTAAATGTGGTGAGCCCTGGTTCAGCTTCAAGCAAAAGCAGAAGTCAATGACACAAACATCTAAGCAAAACATAACTCACATCATATCATCATTTGATTTATTAGACCTTACTTTCAACAACCTGGACCCCTGGTTTGATTACTCTAGTTATGGTGGTGATCCCTGGTCCACCTTTGAGAACAAGAAGACATGAGAACAATGGATGCACAAACCTCTGGGTGAAAGTCAGACCAACCATGAGCCAAATCAGTGAGTAATAGTCAATAATGAAAGCCTTAATCTTACTTTAGCTGTACTGCTTAAAGGTTCTAAAACTGATTCTTTCTTTTAGCTGAATCATAAGTGCGATCTTGCCAAGAATGAATCAAAACCTAGCAAACATAGAGTATGGAGTTAAATCAAGAACATCTGGAGTAGAGCCATGTGTATGAGCCATGAGAAAACCAACGGGGCTTTATTCTGTTACGTAACTAGAGACTGTAATCCATGGGCATAAAATTAGACAGATAAACAAACATTAAACAATACTAAACGAGGACGAACCACCGCGTTCACAGCTGCTCTCAATAAAAATGTCAAGCTCTTTAGGAAGCTACAAAAGAGTCTTACAGATCCCAAAGCCCTTCAAAATCATAAATCACATTGATTCAGTGGCATGAAAACAAACAATATGGGAAAGAACATGATTATTGCATATGCCAAGGATTATGGGTAAAAGTGTTTGGCAGAAGAGAAAGACATATCTGAAGAAGTTGTGCTAAAGGGGAAGATTTAAGAACAGTCTCTTTTTTCAAATGTAAATGGCTCACCGATTCAGTGTCATTGAGTTTGATCACCCTTTATATACAATTATATACATACACAAATTGTATCCAATTGAAAATGTTTTTTTCATTAACTGAAATAAAGCTGAAATCAAATAAACTACAAATGAATTAGATGAAACTTCAATTAGAAAAGCTAAACTAAAATAGAAAAGCACATAACAAAATCACTAAAACAAACTAAGTTCAAGTGAATTTAACATTTAAAAAATACATTACTAATATATAAATGATATTAAAATAACACTAAAAAGAGTCTACAATGCAGTTAATGTCAGAGAAAGGGCAACTTTTATCATTTCAGCAACGCTGAGGCTTAAATATAGCCATTTATTATTAATATGTCAATTATAATTCATACACAACCCTCTTGGACTAACCTCCCTGAGTGATCGCATCAGTGATTTGTTTGATATCTTCATCCTGGAGGATGTCTACGTCACCATGCTGAAACCTCTGCACCTTGGTTTCATCTACAACACATGGACACACAATGTTTTAATGTTTTATCAAAAACTACTTTGTTTACAGCCATTCTGAAACAAACTAAACTGTTAAAGTATTGGTAACTTGTCTATTTTCTTTTGAGAACAGACTTTTTGTGTCTCTTTTTTTAATCCAGTTCTTACTGCACAAGAATCAGTTTTCAAATGTTTGATAAAACCAACTGGACATTTTAACCCTAATGTACTATACAACGTAACTACGAGCCTACACAATCAAATAAAGCTGTTAAAATTAATGACCTTCGCCCATGATTCTCTTGATTTCTCCCTCAGCGTCAATTTCACCATCAGATGAGGCACTGTGAGCTGAGCAAAAAAAAAAAAAGTTACCAAAAAAAAAAAACCTGTGGTTTGTTATTTTCAAATTAACGATGCTACTTAAAGGAATAGTTCGTACAACAATGAGAAAATCACTTGCTCACCAATGGATCTTCTGCAGTGAATGGGCGCCTTCGGAATGAGAGTTTAAATAGCTGATAAAAACATCACAATAATCCATAAATAATCCACACGACTCCAGTACATCAATTCATGTCTTGTGAAGTGAAAGCTGTGTGATTGTAAGAAACAAATCTATCATTAAGAAGTTTTAACTTCCGTCACTTATGTCCAAAATACCTGTCCATAATCCATAAAGGTGCTATATAATAATCCTCCAGTGAAAAAGTCCATCATCTGTTGTCCTCTTATATCAAAATCAACCAGTTTACAACTGTCTTGGACTGTTATCAAGTAATGTGGATTACTTGTGGATTTTCTTTGTGATGTTTTTTTTATCACAAAACGGTTTTGACTCTCATTCTGACGGCACCCATGTACATGTAGAAGACCCATTGTTGAGCAAGTGATCTAATGCTAAATTTCTTCAAATCTGTTGCAATGAAGAAACACTCTCAGGCCATCCATGAAGTAGATGAGTTTGAATAAGTTTGAACATACTTTCAATGAGCCTTGTGACCTTTGTAACAGACGGCTTTCCTTCATCAACTCGTCTAATTTTGGTGATGCCTGGTTCTCCTCCAACCATTTCTTTAATTATGGTGATGCTTGGATCTCCGTTAGTTACTCGTGTAATTTGGACGCTTGGATCTTCTTCAACCACTCGTGTAACTTTGGTGACGTTCGGATCTTCTTCAATCACTCGTCTAACTTTGGTGACGCTCGGATCTTCTTCAATCACTCGTCTAACTTTGGTGACTCTCGGATCTTCAATCACTCGTCTAACTTTGGTGACGCTCAGATCTTCTTCAATCACTCGTCTAACTTTGGTCACGCTCGGATCTTCTTCAATCACTCGTCTAACTTTGGTGACGCTCGGATCTTCTTCAATCACTCGTGTAAATCTAGTGACACTTGGATCTTCTTCAATCACTTGTGTAACTTCAGTGATGCTTGGTTCTCCTCCAATCACTCGTCTGACTTTGGTGACGCTCGGATCTTCTTCAATCACTCGTCTAACTTTGGTGACGCTCGGATCTTCTTCAATCACTCGTGTAAATCTAGTGACACTTGGATCTTCTTCAATCACTTGTGTAACTTCAGTGATGCTTGGTTCTCCTCCAATCACTCGTCTGACTTTGGTGACGCTCGGATCTTCTTCAATCACTCGTCTAACTTTGGTGACGCTCGGATCTTCTTCAATCACTCGTGTAAATCTAGTGACACTTGGATCTTCTTCAATCACTTGTGTAACTTCAGTGATGCTTGGTTCTCCTCCAATCACTCGTCTGACTTTGGTGACGTTCGGATCTTCTTCAATCACTTGTGTAACTTTGGTGACGATTGATTCTCCTTTGATCACACGTGTAACTTTGGTGATGCTTGGTTCACCGATCACCACCTTGACATTGGGACCTGAGGGAAAGTTAGAGATCCCATCAGGTGGCATGTCAAGACCATGACATTTCCCAAAATCTTCTCAGTACTTGTGAAAAACAAATTATTTAGAGACATTTTGCTTTTCTTGGCATAAAGCATGACTGTTTTTTAGATACTATTATGCTGATTAAATTAAAATTAGTTTTGTTTCCAATGTTTTTGAATCCAGTGAGCCATTTGTCCTTGCTGCTTTTACTGATATGAACCACAAGTAAATCAAAGATGAGAATGGAGGTCTATGCCAATTATTAATAATCACTGGCACTGTCAGAGCTGTTAATGAACACCAGGCCGGACCTTCTTTCTAGACACTGCAACGGGGGTCACGTTTCTTGCTACTGCTGGATTCATAAAACATACATTTGTATAATCTGCCAAAGATGAGCTAAGACATAGTGCACATGGAAGAACTGTCTGTGGATCAGGATCATAAGGTTTTTGATTGCAGGCTCAGCTCAAATGGTACTTTGTGTTTTATGATGGAATTCAAACTGTATGAACAGACTGTATATAAGAAACAACTGTACAAAATAAAACTACATTGCAGACAATAACCCAAATTAGGGATCGAAGAAGTAAGCAATCGCAATTAAATCATTTTTGTTTAGTTCATAGGTGCTGATAATGCTAATAATTAAAACAGTTGTGCTGCTTAATATTTTTGTGGAAACTGTGATTTTCTTTGCATCGAAAGAAAGTTCAAAAGAGCAGCATTTATCTGAAATACTAACTTTTCTAACATTATTAATGTCATTGCTGTGTTTTTTTTATCATTTTAATCTGTACCTGATGAATATTAAGTATTCATATCTTTAAAAAATATCCTTAAACTTTTGAATGTTTGTACATACAGTATAATATACACGTTTGACACAATCAACATTTAATCAACAGTTGACCCATTTACTTTGACATGATATTGATTCTACTCTGTGTGGTTTTAAAGACAGATTGGAACCATTGTGACACACAGATCAGTAAATAAATGACACATGCAAATGTTACACTGTAACATCAACTTATTAAATTCAGCTGTACAAAGACTCCAAATGATCTGACTTTCAGTAGTCCCATCTGTATTTCATTTAGAACTAACTTTGTCATTAAAAAGATCTTTCATGGAAAAAGCTGGTCTATCATTTACTAATAAATAAGAGTCCCGCTATGGGATTGGGTCTTTTACAGCGTACCCTCGCAAAGCTTCTGGCAATTCTAGATCCGATTTTTCAAGTCCTATGATTGTAAAGTTACATAAAAGGATTTACAGTTTTAGCTATTGTCAGTATTTTGATATTCTATACTATACATTTTAAGTATTGGATGAACCAATGTTGGGCTTTGACAATTACACATATTAGCTCTACAAAATTGTGGGAGTTTAATTTGATGAAAGGTAGCCAGTGAATGCCTGCTACTGTAGTTTGAGATCCAAAGCTCTGCTTCAAGTCGTAACTCTCAAAAATACTGCCATTACCTAAGCTTTAATCAGTTTTTACCTTCTCAAATACACATTTGAAGCCAAGTTTCCAATAATATCAATTTACATAAATTCCATTTCAATTTGACCATACTGAACTTTGACATTCACTCCTACCCAACACATAGGTCTCCTGCCATGGTCTGAGGCAAAATCCACTGTCTCTAATGCCTTTTAATCGGCTGTATCTGTCCAGCGACTGCCAGAGGAGATGCCAGTGCTGGTTCCAGCTAACAGAATAACATGTGCTCGCTCTTCTCTGGGGCTCTATGAAGAATCGGTTTTCTTGAAATGCAGCTGAGGCAAAATTCAGGCTTGTTGTATTGGATAATGATTGAGTAAATACACAATTAGAGCTCAGCTCAGTATTGCAAATTGAAAAACTGCAAAAACTGAATAAATGCTTATAGATGTAGAAAAGGGGTAAGTGGATGAGAAAATAATGTATACCTTTCTCAATGACATGTGTTGTTATAGTCCTCTCTGCAAGGCGAAACACAATATTCATTAATAAAAAGCATGTCCAATGTAATCCATATGCCGTTGATAATATTATTATGTTATGTGGAACATAAAAAGAGAAATGGGGGATGAAATTGAACTTACTGATAAATGTAAGTGGAATCTCATGATAGGTGTATCCAGATACAAACTACACAAAAACCAAAGCAAAAAATAGAACAAACTGATAAAACTGGTATGTGTGTTTGTTCGGTGATGTACTGAACTGTAATGGATGTTATATAATGTGAGTCAGTGTTCAGATATGATGTGTGTTCTGCTGTACCTTCAGCTGCATGTATTTGATGAGTCTCCTCAGCAGAATCAATATGTCTTCACGGCCAACTGGCAGATCTGTGAAATGCAGTAAAATGATTTATTAAGCTCTAGGGGACTGTGTCTTATGGTTCAGGAATTGTACAGTTATATAAAAGGGGAAAAAACAGATATATTGAAGATAAAGACCATCTATGCAATTGATTTTGATGGTAAACGTCCCTTCAAATAATGACATTTTAAATAAATATTCACATATAGTCCATGCTCATTGCTGATAATAATTCACCTTGAGGATATAATATGGTCTTCACTACATGAACCACTCCATTGGATGCCATAAGATCAAAATCTGGAACCTCCACTGAATTTACATGGATGGAGTTGTTAACCTGAGAATAAGATGGTGTTAATCATTAAATTACTTTTTTTTATAAGTAAATTAAACAAATGAGGAAATTTTATATATATATATATAAAAGACATAAAATGTACAGAAGAATAATAAATACTTTTTTTTTAAATAAACAATGTTGTTCTCAAAGATTTTTTCAAGCCTAAGTGGGATGATTTTATAAAACCCTTTGAAACATACAGACAAATATAACTTATTAAGAGGCCATATTATTAAGAGGTCATTTCCTTGTTTTGGCTCTGTTTGTGAGATATCTGCGTATAAAGTACATTTACATTTACAGTGCTGATATCTGTTTCCAGCAAAGGAAGTATCTGGACATTAGGAGACCTATTGTTCTTGTTTTTAGAGGGAGTTGCGGGTAGAGGCGTTTCTGAGATTTGAGCTGTGTTTGATTGATGCAGTAAACTGTCTGGAAGTTATGACATTACCGCTGTAGCAATGCTCCAAATACACACACAAAAATGCCCTATGTCATAGACCTTCAGCTATACACAAACACAAAAAGAGAAATGTTCTTAGCCCTAATTAGGATGAGATGATGTATGTTTTTTTATAATCAAGTCATACTCAATGTAACCTGGTAGGATTTACGTGAATGGTCTGGATTTGGTTCATGGAAATTTTTGAGAACAGACACAGGAAATTTGTGCTGCGTCTAATTGCATTGTCTGACGATAACAGCATGTCAGGTCCTTCCTCTCTTGTGCAACCAAAATATTAGTATTGGCTCAAATTTAAAAGTCATTCTTTCAGAGTCTAGAGTTTTATTATGGAGTGTGCAAAGGCCTTTATACATTAATCTTGTAACTGGAAAAGCTAATTATGGGACATCTTTATCATAATCACTGTTGGGATAAAGCCGACATTTGAGGAAATTTCTACATTTTCACTAACTACAGTGTTTAATCAGATAAAGTTGGTTTGTGGTTAGTGCCTAAAAAACCTGAACGATAAAATACCCTATCTTAAATTAACAATCCCAGTGTACTTACAGACAGCACTTGAAGGTTGTGGCCCTGAATGGTCTTGAGAAGATTAGTCACTCCACCCTCCAAGCCTCCATTAATAAAGACGCCATTGCTAAAGTGGTAGAGCAGGATCACCCTGAGGACGTTGATGTCGCCTGGATAACAGAATAGTCATAATGTCACTGTGAGGAAACAAACCTAGCAAAAGTTGGACATCATCTAAAAAAAATTGAGAACAAAAGGTTTACTTTTCAGAAGAGTGATGTCTTCCTCTGTCAGGGTGCCAAAGGCAGCATCTACAGGAGCAAAGAGTGTGTATGATCCCTCCTGCTTCAGTAGATCTGTCAGTCCAGCACTCTCCATCAGAGACAGGAAGATTCTGGAATAATTCAGCCAGTCTATGAATTATTTATGCTTGTAATAAAAAAAATAAAAAAAAATAAAAAATCTTAATTTGTATGTAATATTTTAATATAATTTTATTTTACATTATAGTACTTTAAAATGTTTTTTGAAAAACATTATATATATTTTTTAATTATTTTAATGTTAATTGTAATGATTTTAATTACATGCAGACAGTGTCCTGTTAAATTATAAAAATTGTTTCACTGTATTTAATAAATTAACTTTTTTACAGTTTAGATAATAAAACACTTGATAATAGTAATCATGTGAAGTCATGATGATAATCTCACTTGAAGCGTCCGTCTTTCAAGAGCAGCTCATAGATGGTTGTCTCGGATGGCTGGATCAGTGATCGCATGAGATGAAGGACTCCGTTACTGCCCTCTCTGCTGCCTCTGACCATACATGCGTTCTCAATACACACAGCCTAAAACCCACACAGAAAAAAGAGAATAAAATTATAGCTGTGCCTTGGACACTAATACAATATAGTTAGACAAGGACAGCTTTAAGGTCTGTGAACTGAAGAAAATATAAAAAGAGTATAACATTTAACTGCCTGCACAGTAAACATTTAAAAAGTGCTTGTTTTCACTCATGGAGTTTACACAATAATTGTTTGCAGGTCCTCAATCTTTCACTAATTCTCTTTCTCTAAGTCTTTCTCTCTCACCGTGCGATAAATGAAGACTCGGAGGAGTTTTCCTCCCAGGGTTTCGAGAAGCTGGCCGCTGTAGAGGTCACTCAGAGAGACCTTGAGTTTCACAATGTGGTTTTCTAGAATAATCTTCAGGAGACGCTGATCCATGGACATTACCTCATCTGCATGACAGGTGAAGACACTTTAAGTTATGGTGACATTTTAACCAGACTGTGGGGCATTTAGAAATGTACCTATATTAACTACAAACTGAAGTTACAAATTATACATTTTTCATCTTTTGCAGCCTTATGTTAAAATGCTTTAAAATTATTTTTTCTATCATCTATCTATCTATCTATCTATCTATCTATCTATCTATCTATCTATCTATCTATCTATCTATCTATCTATCTATCTATCTATCTATCTATCTGTCTGTCTGTCTGTCTGTCTGTCTGTCTGTCTGTCTGTCTGTCTGTCTGTCTGTCTGTGTGTGTGAGTGAGTGCATATTTGTCTCTGTATTAAATTATGATTTCATTTAAATTATAAACTAAATTAAATTTAGAAATTATATATAAATATAATATAATAATATATAAACATAAATTAAAATAACATAAAATGAATAAAATAAAATTAATTAATGATTAATTATTGTAATTATACAGTCATGATGATATTTATTTATATATTCATTTATTATATACACATAACAAATACAGTGCATATATTTTTTGTAAAAAAAAAAAAAAATAGAAAAAAAAAGTGCATTGTAACATTTGAAATATTTCTCAGTTTATTCAGGCCTCTTCTAAAAGAAAAACAAAAACTGAAAAACAGACTCCTGGTGAGTGCTCACAGTTATCTCAGCAGAAACATCCTGTATTTTGCTCATAGAGTCATGAGGTCAGCTCACCAGAGAAGGCTCCATTCAGTGGTGCAAGAATAGTATACTCAGTTTCAGGCTGCATGGCGGCAGACAGGCCGAGCTCAGACACCATGTCACTGAAGACGCTCTGAGATTTTCCTATAAGCTCCATCACCTGCTTGGCTGCAAGACAAGACACACACTTATCACAACTTTAAATGATTTAGATGTTATATCAGTGACATTAAATCAGTATATTTTAATATATACAAATGTACGACATAAGGATGTAAAAATAAAGTCAGGCTGAACCCAGTGGGCAGGTACAGAGTCTCACCTGAGTCAGGCATGAGCACCTGGTCGATCAGATGAATGACCCCATTGCTGGTGACAATGTCCTTCTTCAGCACCATCTTGATACCATTGACTGTAAGGCTCTCGCCATCACATCCGATCTCAATATTACTGCCCTCAAGAGTCCCATAGATGGAGCCCGCCATAATGGCCTCAGAGCACTGCACTGAGTTCAGGAGGTGGTACTTCAAAAGGGCTTGAAAAATAAACAGATGAAGAGAGATGGAGAAAGTTTAAGCGACAGATCGAACGATAAACAGTGCGCTGACCTGAACTGCTGAGATGTCTTTATCGTCACAGTCCAGTAAGCATCAAGATATAGACCACTAGACAGAGACAATAAAAAAACAGAAGCTCATGTTGTCCAATGGGACACCCGCCCAGTTCTTCCTGTGCGGAGGCAATGTGGTGGAGAGCTGAGACTCTTACATCAACTGTGATATCACTTTCCCAGCAGCTGAGCTTATTTCGCCAATTTCCTGCATCTGTTTAAGCTGTACATGTATGTGCAGTTTGACAACTTTAAGTGCTTTGCCAAACCAAAATCCAAATCAAACAACCTTCTTAAGACAGGTCCTATTCATCTACACTTCTAAACTTTACCACATGGGCTATTGGGTAACAGTCAGCTGTGGCATGCATCGTGGTACTCTCGTGTGTTAAAGACTGACACAGAAGAGACGAAATTGTTGAATAAAGTCGTTATATTTGTTTTCTTTGCACACAAAAAAGTATTCCCGTAGCTTCATAACTTTACGCTTGAACCACTGATGTCACATGGACTATTTTAACAATGTCCTTACTACCTTTCTGGGCCTTCAACATGTCAGTTGCTTCACTGTCTATGCAGGGTCAAAAAGCTCTCAGATTTCATCAAAAATATCTTAATTTGTGCTCCGAAGATGAACGAAGATCTTACGGGTTTGGAACATGAGGGTGAGTAATTAATAACAGAATTACTACCAATTACTGTATGACAGACATTTTTTGGTGAACTGTCCCTTTAATTGAGATTGTATTTCCCCCTTATTAATATAGATTTGCATATAATGATCCTAAATGTGAACCTACAACAGATTCGAAATATTCATATACAATTTATAAAACGTCTGTATAGACAAAAATGTTCTTAAATGCATCTCTCTTTTTAAATTTCCACTTCATCTTAAATTCAAGCGCATATACGTATTATTACTAGAGCTGGGCAATGATTAATCACAATTAATAGCATTCAAAATAGAAGTTTTTGTTTATATAATATATGTGTATGTACTGTGTATATTTATTATGCATATATAAAGACACACACATTTTGAAAATATTTACATGTATTTACATGTATATATTTATATTCATATAATTTATATTATATAATATATGTGTGTGTGTGTGTGTGTGTATAATATATATGTATATATATGTATATATACACCTTGCTACGTGTACTGCGTTAGGCTAACCGAGACTTGTCATTTGCACTTATATATTGTTGCTTTTTTGTTAGTTTTGACTGCTTTTATTGTCCTTATTTGTAAGTCGCTTTGGATAAAAGTGTCTGCTAAATGACTAAATGTAAATGTCTAAATGTAAATATAAAAATATATTTAATATATAAACATAACATATTTTTCTTAAATATATACATGCATGTGTGTGTATTTATATATACATAATAAATATACACAGCACACACACATATATTATGTACACAAAAACTTTTATTTTGGATGCGATTAATCACGATTAATGGTTGCCCAGCACTAATTATTACTAGAATTATTGTTTTCAGTAAATAATTAACATAAATGCATTCATTTCAGTGACGTAATAATTAAAAAGCAGTTGAAATGTTGCTCAATTGTGCATAATATGAGGCCCTGGGTTCCCACATTCCTAGAAAACTTGGATATATGCAATATGAATTTTCAAAGCATGATTTCTAGACATGAAAAATTGATGGAAATGAATACATTAATAAAATCGTAAGAGGCTATTTCTATATTGACTATATAATTCTTTCAAGCTCTAAAATATTTTATTGGAAGTACTGTTTGTGACTAAAAAAATATATAAATAAACAGAAATGTATCCTCTAATCTCAAATGTGACGAGCATGAATCCTTCTTGAAACTGTTCTTAAAACTTCTGGAATTTATTTCATTATTAAGATATTGTGACTCCTATATTTTCTGTAAACAAAAAAGTGTGGAAATAAGTTTTTTCATTACAGCAGAAGTACCAGAAATACCCTGGCCTAAATGGAGGGCTTTTGATTATTGTCTTGGAAAGTCGGGTCTTGGAGTCAAAAAGGTTGAGAACCACTGCTAGGGTCCTGTGGACATCATGTACACATGCGAGCAAAGTCCACAAGACCACAGGTCCACATCAAGTGAGCCATTTGGACAGGGCTTATTTATTTATTTATTTACCCCCTGCATTGTAAAAAAGTGGAGCTCTGTCTCCTCCTGTGCGTGGCGCGTCAATCTGAATGGAGGCGGGGTGAAGTTACGAGGTCTCGCTGACAGTTTAAGGATCCAGTGGCGTTATGACGTTTTATTATTGGTTAAATATTTGTAAAAACCCTCTGATTTAAAATAGTAATAACGAAATATAATAGAGATATTAAGTTTGGATAATTTTTGAGGGCACACCTGACTGGGCTAGGGTATGGCAACTGCCATACTCTGCCACACGGAAACGCCGCCCCTGGTCTCGAAAGCGTACTGTCTGAAACGTGTGAGGTCACTTGCCTCTGGGCTGTTTTGACAGTATGATTGATGTTTATTTTTGGCAGTAATTTCAACTGGTATCTCTATAGTGTATCTGGCATGCAGTGGGGGAAAATTTGAATTGTTCCAGCGGTTTATTGAACACATCATGAGCGTACAGGTTGATATGTGCTCTTAGAGGTAGATTTTATTGCTCAAAAGGTGGCTCAGGAGGTCTCAAGTTACATTTCATGCAAGTATCATCTTTGTTTTAGATGTTTCTTATTAAATCCCATAGGGAATGTAAAATCTGATACAAATGAGAAAGTAGCAGGCATATATTATCAAAAATTCTTTTTCAAGTGCAAATTCTTTTTCAAAGACAAGTTTAAACTGAAATGTCTTAACTTTAGGCAAATCTGAGTCCAGGAGAGATCTCTCGTGAACCTTCAGAGGAGAAAGATTTGGATGATTTTCCTCATGAAAATTAAAAAAAAAAATTAGATTAAAAATAGAAGCCAGATAATTTCAAAATGTCTCAATTTGCGCTTCATTTAATCTAAATGATGTCTAGAGATGTTGAAATGAATTGTCATGTAAAAAATAAAGTACAGTAATACTTCCAAAAATGTAATATGTGGGAAAAGGCTGGTAAAGAAAACAAAATCTCCTTTCCACGCTAAATATCTTAATTTGTGTAAACAATTTTTAAAAATTTTATTTACATTAAAATCTAGTTTAAGATCATTTTAGATATTTATTAAGAGTAAACACAGTAATTTGAATGTTAGCTAGTAGCCTAAAAGGTGTTCTAATGCACTAAAAAAGAGCAAAGAAGCTTTCTAACAGCTGTCTGCAGATGGCGTGAATAAAATTCTCCCATGACCAACGTTGTTCCTCACTGGTTTTAGCGAGAAATCTGTGGCTTATCATGCCATGTAGGCCTGCTGTTTGTCAGACAGCGCTATGGTTGGAAGCACGCACCTGACACCACACAGATTGTTTCTCTTTTTTATCATGACGATAGCGTCTGGAGGCACAGACATTGCAGCTGTGGAGGAGTTCATCCCCTGACACTGAACAATGTTCCCAGTGTCGGTGAAGGAAGGAAAAAGGAAGCCAGCAGGACCCCTGAGAAAGGCCTGACTCAAATTTCCCCAGTGTGACCAGAGGAGAGACAGCAAGCTGGGCAGCTCCGGACCTATTGCTATCGGCAAATCCTCGAAAATTTGACATAATAAGAGGGCAACAACCCAAATCTGAGCCAACCCTGACAGAAAAGGCATACTGTCTGAAACGTGTGAGGTCACTTGCCTCTGGGCTGTTTTGACAGTATGACTGATGTTTATTTTTGGCAGTAATTTCAACTGGTATCTCTATAGTGTATCTGGCATGCAGTGGGGGAAAATTTGAATTGTTCCAGCGGTTTATTGAACACATCATGAGTGTACAGGTTGATATGTGCTCTTAGAGGTAGATTTTATTGCTCAAAAGGTGGCTCAGGAGGTCTCAAGTTACATTTCATGCAAGTATCATCTTTGTTTTAGATGTTTCTTATTAAATCCCGTAGGGAATGTAAAATCTGATACAAATGAGAAAGTAGCAGGCATATATTATTAAAAATTATTTTTCAAGTGCAAATTCTTTTTCAAAGACAAGTTTAAACTGAAATGTCTTAACTTTAGGCAAATCTGAGTCCAGGAGAGATCTCTCGTGAACCTTCAGAGGAGAAAGATTTGGATGCTTTTCTAAAAAACTAATTAGATGAAAAATAGAAGCCAGATAATTTCAAAATGTCTCAATTTGCGCTTCATTTAATCTCAATGATGTCTAGAGATGTTGAAATTAATTGTCATGTAAAAAATAAAGTACAGTAATAGTTCCAAAAATTTAATATGTGGGAAAAGGCTGGTAAAGAAAACAAAATCTCCTTTCCACGCTAAATATCTTAATTTGTGTAAACAATTTTTAAAAATTTTATTTACATTTAAATCTAGTTTAAGATCATTTGAGATATTTATTAAGAGTAAACACAGTAATTTGGATGTTGGCTAGTAGCCTAAAAACTGTTCTAATGCACTAAAAAAGAGCAAAGAAGCTTTCTAACAGCTGTCTGCAGATGGCGTGAGTAAAATTCTCCCATGACTAATGTTGTTCCTCACTGGTTTTAGCGAGAAATCTGTGGCTTATCATGCCATGTAGGCCTGCTGTTTGTCAGACAGCGCTATGGTTGAAAGCACGCACCTGACACCACACAGATTGTTTCTCTTTTTTATCATTATGATAGCGTCTGGAGGCACAGACATTGCAGCTGTGGAGGAGTTCATCCCCTGACACTGAACAATGTTCCCAGTGTCGGTGAAGGAAGGAAAAAGGAAGCCAGCAGGACCCCTGAGAAAGGCCTGACTCAAATTTCCCCAGTGTGACCAGAGGAGAGACAGCAAGCTGGGCAGCTCCGGACCTATTGCTGCCCAGAGTTTAGTCAGGG